TGCAAACTGTGCATATTGCAAACTTGTATTCAATGCAATAACAATATATCAGACTATGTTTTACAGAAAACTGTTATTCATAAGATGTTCTCAATCATAATATCAGCCCGTTTTTGATATTATGATTGAGAACATCTTATGAATAACACCAAAGCGTATAGGAATTAAGGAAATATCCAATTTGGAAGACTTGTGACCATGTGGAGACACACTTGCATGAGGTTTGATGTATGAAAAAGACGCCTCGAAACGAATATCAACTCCCGGGGGAGTTCGTCCACATCCAATCTTCATTGACATCATTGGCTTCAGTTTTCTGTAAAACATAGTCTGATATATTGTTATTGCATTGAATATAAGTTTGCAATAGGCACAGTTTGCAGTAGACCTTGGAAGCGAAGCAGGGTCAGCCCTGGCGAGTACTTGGAGGGGAGACCACCACGGAAGCCCCGGGTTGCCATGCAGGGGCAGGCAAATAGCTGCCCCTTTCCTGCTTGTCTCTTTCCTGACCCGGATGGCCCAGGCTTGCCTGATCTCGTCAGAACCTGGAGCTAAGTAGGGTGGGCCCTGGTTACCCCTTGACTGCAGGACCACCGAGGAAGTCCAGAGCTGCTACATAGAGGCAGACAGTGACAAAACCACCTCTGTTTGTCTCCTCCTTGACCTGGATTACCCAGGCCAAACCCAACCTCGTCAGAGCTCAGAAGCTAAGCAGGGTCGGCCACGGTTGGTACTTGGACGGGAGACCACCAAAGAAATCCAGGGTTGCTATGCAGAGGCAGGCAATAGCAAACCCACCTCTGTTTGTCTGTACCCTGACCTGGATGGCCCAGGCTAGCCCAATCTCGTCAGATCTCGGAATCTAAGCAGGGTCGGCCCGGGTTAGTCTTTGGATGGGAGACCAGTAGGGAAGATCGGGGTTGCTATGCAGAGGCAGGCAATGGCAAAACCAGGTCTCTGCCTCGACCTGGAGGGCCGAGGCTAGCTCAATCTCGGAAGTTAAGCAGGGTCGGCCCTGGTTAGTCTTTGGATGGGAGACCAGTAGGGAAGATCGGGGTTGCTATGCAGAGGCAGGCAATGGCAAAACCAGGTCTCTGCCTCGACCTGGAGGGCCCAGGCTAGCTCAATCTCGGAAGTTAAGCAGGGTCGGCCCTCGTTGGTACTTGGATGGGAGGCCAGTAAGGAAGCCCAGGGTTGCTATGCAGAGGCAGGCAATGGCAAAACCAGGTCTCTGCCTCGACCTGGAGGGCCGAGGCTAGCTCAATCTCGGAAGTTAAGCAGGGTCGGCCCTGGTTAGTCTTTGGATGGGAGACCAGTAGGGAAGATCGGGGTTGCTATGCAGAGGCAGGCAATGGCAAAACCAGGTCTCTGCCTCGACCTGGAGGGCCCAGGCTAGCTCAATCTCGGAAGTTAAGCAGGGTCGGCCCTGGTTGGTACTTGGATGGGAGACCACCAAGGAAGATCAGGGTTGCTACGCAGAGGCAGGCAATGGCAAACCCATCTTCAACAACAAACCCACCTCTGTGCGTCTCTTGCCCTGACCTGGGTGGCCCAGGCGAGCCCGATCTCATCAGATCTTGGAAGCTAAGTAGGGTCGGCCCTGGCTAGTACTTGGACGGGAGACCACCAAGGAAGTCCAGGGTTGCCGCACTTAGGCTTTTGCTGCAGCCCAGATTCTCTTAAAAGGTCTTATTATTGTGATTTATTTTTTTTAATGAACGCGAGCTGTCTTGAGTGCACTTCTATAGTTAGGCAAGGCTGAAACAAGCATAATGGATCTTAACTCTGCGCTCCCTGCCAGTGAGGGGCTTCCCGGGTCTCGCTCGTGTTTCGTCTGTCGGACTCAGTCCGGCCGCTGTCTGCCCGTCAGCAGCCGTTCCCTGACTTTGCCCTTCTCCCTCCCAGGGAACCACATCCTTCCAGACGAGGACCTGGCGGCCTTCCACTGGAGCCTGCTTGGACCAGACCACCCGCTGGCTTCGCTCAAGGTAGTCCTCCTCGTGTCCCTTTGTCCTGCCTGGAGGGTCACGAGGCAAGAAGCGTTGGCTTGAAGGGCATACCATTCTTCAGGAGGGGGGGAGGGAAGGAGGCAGATTCACGTCCTGTGGAAAGGAGACCAAGGAGTGGTGGGGAACCAGCCCTCCAGCCTTCTTTGTCCCCATCCTGTGGGACTGGGTTTCCAGTGGGAAGTGAGACGCCTCTCAAATTTTGTGGCCAGCTCTGGGAAAGGAATGGGCTCTGCTTTAAAGAGTTCATGTAGAGCAGGGGTCTCCAGCATGGTGCCCGTGGGCGCCGCAGCACAGGGCGACATTTCTCTTTGTTCCCACCAAGTGTTGTGGATTTTTTTTTAAAGCGGGCTGGTCCAGGTGGGGCTTTTGCCCAGCGGGTCTTCTGATTGGCTGTTGGGGATTTGATGGGCTGTGCATATTTTTAAAAACATTGCTTAAGCCGCAGCTGCCACCACAGCACAAGGATCTTTACCAGAGGTCATTTCGGGGGGGATCGCAGTTCCCCCGGGTGAGGTACGGGGGGCGGGGCACATGACGAAGCCCCGCCCCCTGCTTCCGGCCGCCCCGCTTCCGGCCCTCATTCAGCCAGGAGGAGGCAGGAGAAGAGGGAGGGTAAGTTGCTTCCTCCCTGCCTCTCCCCACCCCTGCCTGCCTGGGGCCAGGGAGGGCCTTCGCGGGGCTTCCTCGCACTCCCGCCGGCCTTGCAGGTCCACCGCCGGGCCCCTCATGGGGCTC